CTAGAACATGGCTCCCGCCACCCAGATGCAGCTGATACAATGTTTAGGTCGATGGCAATGTCTGTCACAATGTGTGAATGATCCTGGCTCCTCTTCCTACAGAATTGCAGATAGTTATTAAGGATTTGCTCTTTGAGGGTTGTAATTTGTTTAATGATAACACTGATGATGCCCTTTGCACCCTAAAAGATTCAAGGGCAAGCTTTAGGTCATTAGGGCTATATACACCAGCCCCTAAACACAAGCATTTCAGACCTCAAGCCTACCATAGGCTGCCTATTTATCAGTGCAGACCTATGGACCCTCCCAGAAAACATCAAAAATTCTCAAGAAGGCCCTCATCAACAGCTATGATGTTGTCACAACCACCTCACTTGTCTTCCAGGCAACAAATTTGACTACTTGCTCAGAAGCTGCTTACTAGTGACTGTGGATCTTCCCACCCAGTCCCCACTGTTTTGGGGACAGTTTGTCTCACTTGCACCATTTCTAAAGTGCTATAACAGATAAGTGGGTATTGGAGGTCATGTGATTCAGTTTCACTCCCTACCCTGTCCTCACCTACCTTTCCTGTCCCTATTCAGGGACTCCTTTCACAAGAGCGTACTAGAACAGGAAGTACAAACACTTCTCTCTCTATGCAGTAGAGATGGTACCACATCACGTTAGAGGAAGAGGATTTTACTTGAGGTATTTCCTCATTCCCAAGAAAAAGGAAGGCCTCACCTTCACATAAGAGCTCAGAGCTTATTCATATAGCCTGCATAACAGTATTTCTTCCCATGCTATGTGGACTGACAGCTCGAGTCATGGCAGACAACACATCATTACACAGGGAGGATTAGGATTTCCTTTCCCAATCCCCTTTGGCAAGAAGCCTCTGGGCCTGGTGTATCTGTCACCAAATCACACTAGTAGCTCTGAATCGCAGAATGTCCTAGCAGGCAGTTTACAAGTGACCACAAATGGATTCTCAAGGGCTCCATCCTACTAAATGTATTCCACCAATGGTTGGTTGAGCTGTTCATCACAGACAAAACCAAAAGGGCCAAATTATCAGCTCAGGGGTGGGTCTAAGCCTGGGTTCTCTGTCAGATGCTTTTCTTACTTTGTGGAATCTAGAGATAATGTACTGGGAATCCACTGATACTGTTAACACCAAGGAAACTGAGACCGGACTCGCCAGTAATAACCATGCCAGCCGCAACTTGGCCCAGACAGTTCTGGAATATCAACCTAATGAACCTATCGAGATAATATCTCAGAACAAGGGGAGGATTCTTCATCTGCACCTGATGTCATTCACCTCACAGCGTGGATGCTAGCTGGTTAAATACTATTGAAATAAGCTGTTCTGCTGTGGTACAGAATATATTGGTAAACAGCAGCAGGGACTCTAGCAAGATCACCTATGCAGACAAATGAAAGAGTTCTCTGTTTGGGCAGCATGACACCACTTGTCTTTTCTAGTCCCTCCAATTCCTGTTATTCTGAACTACCTGCTATCCATAAAGAACTCTGAGTTACCCATCATCTCTATCAGGGTTATATTTCGCATCAATATCAGCTCACCATCACCCCATTGAGAGTCTCAGCATATTTTCCCACCCTACAATTGGTAGATTCTTAAAGGCCTCATTCATCTGTTCTGTATTCTGGGAAACCTCTCCATCCTGGGGCCTTTACATAGTCTTATCTGGTTTAATAGGTCCTCCCTTTGAGACCCTAACAACAGGGTCACTGTGTACCATCTTTTTATGAAAATGGCCTTAGCAGCTAGAAGGATTTGAATCAGATGATTCATCTGCTGGTTTTCTTTCCCAAGCCTCACTCCAACCAAGGGAAAAGCAAATTGCACACCCTGGATACAGTTAGGGTTGTGTCATTATATCTGGACAGGACAAAAACATTCAGGAGCTCCCCTAGGCTATATGCAGTGTTTGCGGATAGAATAATATCTACCCTAAAACTATCTAAATAGGTAACTATAATTGTATTAAATCATGCTATGAGTTAGATTAGAACCATGATTGCCTGTTAGAGCCTGCTCAGGAGGGTTCTGCTGCTTCATGGAGAATCATATCAGATTCTGAAATTTGTAGGGTGGCTACATGGGGATCAGTATACGCTTTTACACAACACTATTCCCTAGTCAAGACATCAAGATCTGATGTCCCTCTTTGGCAGAGCTATCCTGCAATTATTATTTCAATAGACTGTGAACACCGACCTGCTTGCAAGTCACCAGACCTGGCATCCATTTGGACAATCACTCAAAGAAGAAAGAATGGCTACTAACCCTAGAGTAAGTGTGGTTCTTTGAGATGTGTTCTCTATATGTGATCTGCAACCCTCCCTTCTTCCCTGCTGTTATGGAGTCCTATACCATCTGGATTCTATATTGGTAAAGAAGTTTGAGGTATGGTTGTGCCTGCTCTGCTCTTTATGCCTTTGGGGGAGCATGGCACAGATGTGGCTCTGATGGACAGTGCTGGCCAAAAAGAATCCAGTATGGGACACATGCACACCAAAAGTGCAATATGTGCAGATAGCACATCTAGAAGAATCACAGTTACTGAAGGGTAAATAGCTATTCCTTTTCAAAGAAGCACAGTTAAAGGAAAGCAATTTTCCTCCTCTTTCTCAAGGAATAGAATAGTGTAGTCAAATTAAATTGTATGTATATTTTTCATATGTTTCCTTTAATACTGAATGTTAGACTCTTAAAAAAGCTGTTACAAATATTGGTGTTGCTTTTGGTTTAATGATGTATATGAATAGTGTCCACCAAATACTTTGAAAAATATCCAGTACAGGGAAACTACATTATTTGCCTTTTTTTTTTTAAACCTTGTGATTAGTGAATTAGTCTGAGTGTAAAATCTTTGCCATGCCTGCTACTACTCCCTTACAGATGCCAGCTTCCTGATGAAGTGGGTTTTAGTGCACAAAAGCTTATGCCCAAATAAATTTGTTAGTCTCTAAGATGCCACAAGGACACCTCATTGTTTTTGCTGATACAGACTAACACGGCTACCACTCTGAAACCCTTTCTATATTGTTTACCTTCTGTTCACCACAATGGGCAATTCAAAGTGTTTCTATTAAAATGCTGTACATGGTTTGAACCTAACCTATTAAAAATCACATCACTTTCTGTGCACCATCACAACAGCTGAGAACAGTTGATGTATCCTTGCTGCACTCAGTTTCTAGATCAGAACATCTGAGGCTCAGGGCAAGGAGTTCTTTGTAGAGTACCCGTAATTCTGAAATTCAATTTTTATGTTGGTCTGCCAGAGTCCAGATTTGTTTACCTCTAGGACATAGTATAAAAGCAATATAGCGCCTGCTTGAGAGCAGAAGAACTCTTTAGGATATAATTGACATACATTTTTGTACATTTGAATTAACCACCTCCCCCACAAAACAACAACAACCCTAGAGATGCATGTTGTGGGTGCAATTGTAGAAATGTAAAAATTAGTAAAGTATCTAAGTCCTAATGCTGATCCTGCAAGTAAAAGGGTTTTGGTCATGGAGAGGAGGGTAGAGAATAATTATTGTTGGACATACCCCATCTCCTGCCACACAGACACGGGAAGCCTAGCAGTGCTAAACTGTTGCTGAATATAATCTGAAGAATAGAGTAAATGTCTGTTACTCCTCTCCTATGTGGATTTGTGGTTAAATGGAAACAGTTATTGCTCACTTGGAACACTTGGAGATATGTGGTCCTGCTTTGTTTAGTCTCCACCACTCTTTCCTGTCGTGGAAAGAATCACCCACGCAGTGATTTTAGTTCACAGACTCAAGCCTGAGGCCAGTTTATTGACATACATACCAGTGCGCACTGGGGTGCAGCTCGAAAGCTAGCACACTGAGCCCTACACACACGGGCTTTTTATTCCATCAAACCACAAGCAAGGTACAAACAGTACGTCATGAGTTAAGAAATTAGGGACCAACCATAAGCTGGGCATGGGGTGAACACGAGCTCGGGGGCAAATCACAGGCTGGGTTTGGGGTGAGCACGAGCTGATCACGGGCTAAGGGGCTGGGGTTGGGGTTAGTCCTCCCTCCTCCCCTTGCCTACTTTCTTAATTTCCGAGAGGTGGGTGTAGAGGGGCGCTTGGTGGTTTCCGCAGGGGTGGTGCTCGGCCCTAGCTTGGGTCAATAGCAGCAGCTAGGGTGATTAACTTTCTGCAAAACAATTTCTTAATATTGAGCAACTTACATTATATTTCTAAAGCCTTGCGGTTATTATATTTCTAAAGCAGCTTCTTTAGCCTCCAACAGACTTTGTAATTTTTCTTCCCTCCTCTGTCACTACTTCTAACTGGGATTTGGCCAAGAATTGATTTGAGCAGTATTGTTCAGGCTTTTAGGCCTTCTCTACTCTGCACAAAGGTCACCATTATGACAGCCTTCTGTTGGAGGTGTTTTGGGGCCTCTTGGCCCAGAACTTTGGCTATCGGAAAGGAGGCCCCCCTGTTCTGTTCCTCCACATTCCCTTCCATCTCTTCCCCTCCCACTGCTTGCACACCAGAGACAGCTTTTCAGCTGCTTTGGGCCCTTTCATTCCTGAATAAGGTGATTTGATGTGGGCACAGCAGCAAAATGGGGGCAGACACATGTATGTTGTTAAGTTGCAGACCTCAACTTTATTAAACTTTAAATCTGCTGCTGGAACAGAGCTGAAAGAGGCTACACTTGGTTAAATCCTGGGAGCTGGGGCATGCTGGCTAATCAGCACCCAACTCCCTCAGCTGGCCAGTGGGTGCCAGAGACTCCCGGGGAGGAACTACCTAGTGTCACTTAGTGAGTTTCTCCCTTCCTTCCTGCTGGGACTGTCCCCCTTTCGCTACTGGCCCCATCAAGTTTCCCCACCCACTGAAGCAGGCTGGTGGTATTTAGGATTGTATTCTAGTTTAGGAAAGAGTCCATGCATAAAAAATAATTACCATTTTTTCTGTGGTTGTCTATCCCTTCCATTTCAGTCAGCTTGCGTGCATTTTGGCAGTTCACCATAAAATGATGCACACAAAATTATATCTCCAACCATGAAAGGGTAATGTAAGATCATATTTTTGTAGACTTTCTTAATTTTAATGTGTTCAGTTAGATTTCTGCATGCTTTATTATGAAAACCTTAGTTTTATAATGAAACCATAGTTTACATGACTACTCTATATAATAAAACAGAACTATGAAACCGTTTAAGTGTTACCTCTTGATGGAGGTTTTTAATTTTAATAGCCCCAAATAGAAGAATGCATTTGCTGCATGTTGTCTTGTACATTCTGAAGTTTTATGGATTTTTTTGTTTAGTTGCAAAACAATGTGCATTCATCCAAAACTGGGTTTTAAATGTCAAGCATGTAGTATAACTTCCATGGCATATAAAATTAATACTGATATTAGCTGAAACAAGTCTAAGTTTGGCTTTTTCGAGTAGTGGTCCCTGTAAGTGCTCCACTTTAGGTGTGCATGAGCCTGTGTTCTTCCGATCAGAGATTTTTGGTAGTAATGTCTGTGTGGTTTGCATCTGCGCCCTGTGTATCCTTGTGCTCTGATCCGAGGGGCATATAGGGGAGGGTGGATCTATTGCTTCCCTTCTTACCTTCACCTGCAGTTAGAGATGGAGTGTTCTGGTGTCTGTTAGTTTCAAGCTTAGTTAGCTCACTTGTTTTTAATCTTTTTATTTTATTTAAATGTATTTTATTTATTGTTTTTATTAATTACACACACACGCTTAGTGCTTTTGGGGTTCCCTCCCCCTTTGCTGTTTTCGGGGTCAGGACCTCCTCCCCTCTCCCACTTTGGCCTCTGTGTGTGTGCAGCCTCTCTCTTTGTATGCCCCAAACCCCAGGCTTTAAATCCTGCCAGACCTGTAATAAGTATTTTCCTCTCAGTGATGGATATTTTAGCTGCAACCACAGTCTCAGATAGTCCCACAGCTTCAGCTCCAATGAGCTGTCCAGGGAACAGCTTCAAAGACTTCAAAGCTCTTTAAGAAGGAAAGAACTAGATCCCATGATAGAGAACCTAAGAGGAGGGAGAAGTTGCTGCAAAAGTCAGGAAGCAAGGAGACTTCATGTCCTGGTATAGATACTGCTGATACTTCTAACTCCTCCAGTACTGAGATCCCACCACATCAGTGAAGACCTCCAACATATCGGACACTGAGAAGTCTCTTGGCAAACAGCCTCATTTGGTACCAACGTTGGTACTCTCCTTGCAGTCCTCCAAACACAGGGACTCCTTGAAGAAATAGCCTTTGACCCAGGCACATGGTTCTGTATGTCATGAACATAAGGATTGTATGGATCCAGCTGTACCAGCCTCAGTACTGTCAGATGCATTGCAATCACTCAGTATCCTATCTCAGTAGTACTGATTAGATTCCTCTCTCAAGTAGATTGTCAGAAAAACCTAAATCTCCTCTACCGAGAAGGATCAAGAGGGATTTTCTGCTGGTTCCAATGTACCCTTCAGTGCTGCCGTAAACTTAGATGAAGACACTTCTGCCAGTACCAACTCAACCACCAACACAACACAGTCACTGGTACCAACACTTCTGCCCCCCTCACTAGAAACAGGAAAAAATATCTCCTTGAACTCCGAGATCTCCAGCCAAGATTCCATTACCTTTCTGTTTGAACCTCCCTCTCCTGAAATGTATCCTAAGGAGGAGACCCCAGATACCAGTTGACAACTGATCCAACAACCTTCATAGTAGGAGCACCTTGGGGCCCCTCTCCCTTCCTTTATGTTGCCTTTAAGGCCTTTAGGCAAGTTTATTGGGCCTTCTGTAATCCCTGGGTCCTGTACAGAGGCCTGTTCTATAGGATGCCCTCATGTAAGAGGATCCCCCAAAAGTGGCAACCACTGGTACCCCAGAACCCCTCCTCAAAAGGATCTTTTAGAAGAACAAGAGCTGAGAGTGGAGGAGGCCCTGCTATCAAAGACCCCTTCCTTGCCAGATGAAGCAGTTATGTTCCCTCCCTCCTCCTGTGAGGATGACTTGAATTTCTTCCAAGAACTCATGAAGAAGGTAGTTGAATCCTTACAGATCCCCTTGGAAGAGGTGCAAGAACCATAATATGTTTTGGTAGATAACCTACGCACCTCTCCCCAAAGCAAGATAGCCTTACCTATAAATGACCTCCTGCTGTCACTAGTCCAAGCAATATGGAAAACATGGGCCATTATCCCACCTACTTGCAAGAGGGCTGACAAGAAGCAAGATCCCAATCCTTGTATGCAGAGGCAATAAAACTTTGGAACTAGTGTATAACCCACCAAATAAACATCTTAGTGGCATATCTGTTAGGTCTGCACAACGCTATAACAGACATGCTGAGCAGACATTTCTGTCAGGATCAAAAATGGGAAGTGTGATCCTATGCTACTGAAGATTTTTCTCACCTGGGGCTTCCTAGAGATAGACTCTTTGGGACACCATCCAACATAAAATGCTGCTGATTTTGCTTGAGGAGGAAGTCACAGTTGCAACTCTTTTTGGGAGAAGCCTTCCTAAAATTTTGATGTCAAATTCTGCTATATGCCCGTCCCCCAACGCCACTGCTCCTCAGGGTCCTGAACAAACTAAAGCAAGAAAAATTGGTAATTATCCTCATAGAACCAGCCTGGTTGAGGCACAATATGGTTCCTGGATCTGATTTCCTTGTGTCTGCATCCACCTTTCTCACTTTGACAGTAGACCTACTGGCCCAAGAATCGGGCACAATAATTCACCTCAATCTCTCCTTGCTATATCTCAAGGCCTGGCTCCTTGACGGCTCTTGGGTGTAGAAAAGGATTGTTCTTTTGAAGTACAGAATATGCTGTTGAACAGTTGTAAACCTTCCAAGAGAAAGTCTTACCCTAAAAGTGGAAGAGATTTCATTGCTGGAACATCCAGTCGGCATTTTCTCCCTTGGAGTCACACATCATCCACATACTTGAAAACATGCTGAATTAAACTCTGGGCTTGTCACTCAGCTCTATCAAAGTCCAACTGGCTGCCATTACAGCCTTTCACCTATCAGTTGAAGGGCTTTCAGTAGTCATGCACGCTTCAGTATTCACTTCAAGGTTCATTAAGGGATTGACCAACCTTCCTCACATCAGAGAGCCCACTCCACCATGGGACCTTAATCTAGTTCTCAATGTATTGAGGAACCATCAAGCTATTCTGTTCTCCATCACGTGGCCAGAAGGGTAGGGGAGTTTGGGAAATTTGTGATAGATCTACCCCACATGGTATGTAACCGGGACAGGATGATTCTATGTCCCCAACCTCATTTCCTGTCCAAGATCTCCTTGGACTTCCACGTCAGTCAGGGCATTCAGTTGCTAGTGGTTTCCCCAAAACCTCACACTTCAAGACAAGAAGCTATTTTTCATACTCAGGAGCTGAGAAGAGCCCTTGCATTCTACCTCAAAAAGACCATGCTCTTCAGAGCCTTTTCTAGGCTCACTTTCTTGCAGACAAGATGAGGGGAGCACCTCTTTCCACTCAGACTATGAAAGTGTGTGTGTGTGTGTGTGTGTGTGTGTGTGTGTGTGTGTGTGTGTAAGTGTGTTGACATGTTATGAAACTTCTGGAGTGCCTCCCCAGCAAAGGTGACTTCCCATTCCACTAGGGTACCTCTATTGCTCTGCTTAAAACACATACCCATGTCAGACCTATGTAAAGCTGCCACCTAGTTGTCTGTGTACACTTTTTCCCAGTGGAGATGCAGCCTTTGGTGCGGCTGTTCTCCAATCGGTATTTGAGCCATCTCCTCAGCACCCACCTCTGTCTTTGGGACACCACTTGGGAATCACTTAAAGTGGAGCTTCCATAGGGATTGCTACCTAAAGAAGAAGGAGAGGTTACTTATCTGTACAGTAACTAGAGTTCTTCAAAGTGTTTTGTCCCAGTGGGTGCTTTACTGCTCTTCCCCCTTACCCTCTTCTTTGGAGTCCTTGCCTTGGTTGGGTTTCATAGCTGAGAAGGAACTGGAGTGGTGATGAGTCAGTCTTCCCCATAGGCCCTCTGATTGGAGTAAAAGGATATATAGGGCGCAGGCATGGACCCAGTAGGTACTCTACCGAAAATCTCGGATTGAAAGTGCTTGGATGTGCAAAGTGGAGCACCCACAGGGACAAAACATCTCAAAGTCCAGTTATAGTGCATGTAAGTAACCTCTCCATTTCACAGCATTTGAAATGTATAGAGATGATGCATATAAAATAGCAAACTAAAGGAAAATATATACAATAGTCTCATGCATTTCAGTTAGTCTGTTTATGTTAAAGGAAGGAATCTTTGACATTATTATTGTATTACAGTAGGATCTAGAGGAAAGGCCAAGCCACAAAACAAGATTAAACTAGCTAGGGATATAAAGAGTAACAAGAAAAGCATTTTACCAATACATGAGAAGCAAGAGGAAGACCAAGGACAGGATAGGTCCATTACTCATTGAGGAGTGAGAAACAATAACAGAAAACACAGCAATGACTGAATTGTAAAATGCCTTTTTTTATTTTAGTTTTCACCAAAAAAGTTAGCAGTGATTGAATGAGTAACATAATGAACATCAGTGTAACAGGGGTAGGATCTGACTGGTAGGCTACGTTTACATTACAGTCTATGTTGGCAAAGCGTATGAATATTCCACTCCCTGAGTGACATAAGTTACACTGACACAGGCATTTGTGTGCACAGGGCTATGTCAGCAGGAGAACTTCTCCCGCTGACATAGCTTATGTCGCTCACGGAGGTGAGTTTTTATGCTGACAGGAGAGCTCTCTCCCGTCAGCATAGAGAGTCTTCACCAGACACGCTGCAGTGGCACAGCTCTACCGGTACAGGTGTGCTGCTGAAATGCTGTGCATATAGACATGGCCTAAAACAGAAAGAGAAAAAGTAAAAAATTACTTAGACAAGTTAGAAGTCTTCAAGTCATCAGGGCCTGATGAAATATATCCTAGAATACTTAAGGAACTGGCTGAAGAGATCTCTGAGCCATTAGCAATTATCTTTGAGAACTTGTGGAGGACAGGCAAGATCCCAGA